ATTGGGTAGATCTGCTGCGCAAGGCCTCTGAAGAGTGTTGAAGAGTAAAAGATATTGTTTTGAGGACTAAGATGTCCCTGACCCAAATCCTGGTATTTTCAAACACCTCATGTGTATGTGAAAGTTGGACAATGAATAAGGAAGATCAAAACAGAATCGGTGCATTAAGTTATGGTGCTGGCATAAAATACTGAAAATACCATGGGCAGCCCGAAGAACAACCCAATCTGTCTTGGAAAAAGCACAGTTAGAAGTGAGGATGGCAAGATGTTGTCTCATCTACTTGAACATGTCAGGAGAAATCACAACAATTGTGAGGTTGGTGCAGATGGGCAGGGTTTCATTTTGTTGTGTGTGTGTAAGCTCTGAGTCAGAACCAACAACACCTAACATTAACAATGGGGTATCTTTTCTAGTTTTAGCCTTAACATTTGGGTTTTTGAGCCATTTTGAGTTTTTATAAATGTGAGTTATGGATCCTGATTCATTTTTCTATGTATGGATATCCTCTTTTGCCAGCATCATTTGTTGAAGAGACTCTTTCTTCTTCATTGAATGGACTTTCACCCTTATGAACGATCATCTGCCTGGAGATGAATAGACTAACATTTGGATTGTCAATTCTACTCCATTGTTCTATGTGTCTATCATTATACCAATGCCAGGTTGATTTGATTACCATAGCTGTGTAGTAAATATTGAGAATGGAAATGAGAGGCCCTCAACATTGCTCTTCCTTAATATTGCTTTAGCTATTTGGGATCTCTTTCCATATAAAATTTGAGATTAGTTATTTAATTAAAGAATGTTGCTTGGGTTTGGAATGGGATTGCTTTACACCTATATATTGTTTTGGTTAGTAATCACAGTTTCACAGTGTTAAGATTTTCAATCCATGATCATGGAATATTTTCCCATTCATGTAGATTGTTTTAGTTTCTTGCAGTTGTATATTACAGTTTTCTTTATATGTCTTTTACATTCCTGGTTATGTTTATTCAAAGGCATTTTACCCTAGTAGGGGTTATTGTAAATTATATGGACTTCTTGGTTTCCTTTTCAGAATCCTCATTGTTAGGGTAGAGGACTTTTGTGTGTTGGTCATGTGCCCTGCATCTTTGCTAAATCTTTCTATTCTAATAACTCTGTTGTGGAGCCTCTGTGATTTTTCTTTAAAAAAACTTTTTTCAAGTCTTATTGGCATATAATTCGCATATCACACAATAGTTCAATCACATCAAGAAGAGTTGTACAGTCATCACTACAATCAGTTTTAGAACATTTTCTTCAATCTTGTACTCATCATTATTAGCTCACCATTAGCCCCCAACTTCCCCTTCCATGACCCCAGGGACTATTCATCCAGTTCCTGTCTCTATAGATTCACCTGTCCTGGATATCATATAAAGAAAAACTTGAAAATACAAACAAAAATAATAACAAAAAACTAATAAGAATAACAAAGTGAAACATTAAAAACCTCAATAGAAAACAAAATGGAAAAAAAGAAAAAAGAAAACAAAATGGAAAATATTAAAAACTAGAACAAATTTAAATGGATCATAAGATTAAATAATAGGGTGCTATATTTTAACCTAACTGTATCTGCAACAATCCACTTTCCAATGCATTGTGCATGTTAGCAAGGTTATTCACATCCCTGCTATGGTCAGAGGGAATTCTTCACCGGATTAATCCATGTATATTTCCCTTCCCTTACTCCTTTTAAAAATAGAAACAGTTTCAAAATGGGTCTAAAGCGAAATCAAATAAGACATTTACATTTTGACCTAATGACATCTGTCATAATCAACTTTACAATGCTCTCTGTCTGATAATAGGGTTATCCACCATCCCACAATTATGACTGGAAGGGATTCACTGGAGGCGAAATCCATGTGTGGACCCTGCAAATGGATTTTGGGCTTCCCCTGTCTTTCATAACCTCCTGCAAACCAGGTGCTCACGATTTAGGCTCTGATGCCATTCCTTCCTTTAAACTTGGGTTATATTATTTACAATCCTTGGCTCACACAGGCTGGTCTGCTCCTTCCAGTTGGGCTCAGTGGATGCCTCATGTGAATTTTCTATATATAGGATCATGTCCTTTGTTAATATGGATAGTTTTTCTTCTTCCATTTTCAATTTGGATACAGTTTATTTTCCTTTATTACCTTTTGTTCTAGCTAGAACTTCCAGTCCAATATGAAATAGGAATGGTGATAAACATAATTTATTTAAAAATTAATTTTATTTTGAAATAATTTTAATTTACAGAATACCTGTAAGAATAATAAAACTTCACTCATGGACCTTATTGAAATTCAGCCTCTCACCCACTGTCATTAAGTCAATTCTGAGACTCCTAGAGACCCTATAGAGCAGAGTAGAACTGTCCTTGGATTTTTGAGAGTATAATTCTTTTATCTTTCGCCTACAGAGCAGCTGGTGGTTTCAAACTGCTGACCTTGTGAGTATTGGCCCAACACATAACCACTATGCCACAAGGGCTCCATGAAATTTGATCTATTATCTCAAAATATACTTTAGCGCAGGGGTGCCTCAATATATCGATTGCGATCTACTACGTAGTTGATCGCAAATGTAGCATGGGTAGATCGCTTGGCATTAAAAAAAGACGTAAGTCTATCATCAATCTCGTCACTTAATTGATATACAGTGCAGCCAATCAGATGCAATCTTAGGTGTCAAATGCATGCGCAAACAACCGCACTAAGTGCAGCAAAACTGACAAGCCAAGTTATCGCCAATTTTTAGATCCTGTTTTTTTCCCCTCTTAAACGTAAGAAAGGGTATTAAAATGTGTTGGGGAGCTGGACATATCACTTTCATATGGGATGGGAGATTTTGACACTACAAGCCAACATTCAGCTGAAGTCCAGAGCGAAGGTACAGTTCTGGAACTTACTCGCAGAGGGAAAGTACCCAAACATGAGAAAATGTGTTACCTCCTTGACTGCATTATTCCACCCTACTTATTTGAGTCAGCCTTTTCCCACATAAATATCATTAAGTCCAAGTACCGTTCCCCCATGACTGATGATCATTTGGAAGTGTGCTTGAGGCTGGCTGTCAGCAGCTACTGTCTGGACTATGCATCCCTGGCTCGTGCCATTCAGTGCAAGTCATCAGAGTAAACTCAGGTAATGACAAAGAATGTACATAGTTAATTGTGTTGTGCTATATGGACTCACGCGGTTATGCAAGGTACATAAACATGCATTGTACATATAAAGAATTCTCCATGCATTTATGAATAAATGTAATAAATTAAAAAATGTTTTGCATTTTTGTAGTTGGTAGATCATTTTGACTTGAGCATTTTATAAGTAACTCGCATGCTGACAAAGCATGAGCAGCCCTGCTTTGGAGTACGGGTATTCATCCCAAGGTTACTCAACAAGGTATTTTTACTGACCCCCTTCTACTGTTGGGAGTATGTGACTGGGTCTCTCAGCTGCAACCAATGTCAATTAAAGTCTGATTCAACAGCCAGAGTTGTGAGCCTTTAAAACAGTGGTTCTCAACCTTCCTAATGCCAGGACCCTTTCATACAGTTCCTCACGTTGTGGTGACCCCCCCAACCATAAAATTAATTTCATTGCTACTTCATAACTGTGATTTTGCTACTGTTATGAATGGGGCGACCCTGTTAAAGGCCCCAAGGGGTCCAAACCCACAGGTTGAGAACCGCTGATTTAAAAAAGCAAATTTAGATCATGTTCTTCCTCTGCTCAAATCCCTGCAATAGTTCTCCATTTTATTAAAAACAAAATCAATGTTCTCTTCTACTCCTCTCACCTGGCTCCCAGCACATATTTGCTGTTTATGAAAGACTCTACCAATGCTTCTGCCTCAGGGCTCCTGCACCAGCTCTTTGGTACAATATTCAGGATCTGCCTGGTTAACCATTCACTTCTTTGTTGGCTCTTAAAAACTTATCGCTTTATGTCTCCTACCCTCTTTTTAATTTTATTTCATCCTCCAACGAGGTATTTATCATTTTAAACATCTTATCACTATTTAATGCTTGTTTATGTTCTATAGGGATCTTTGTCTATTTTGTTTGTTGACCATCCCAAGCATCTACAACTGTAATATTCTTGGTCGTTGAGATTAAAAGAAAGCACATATACACAATACATAAACACATATAAATATATGTTCATATTAGGGGCTTCAAAATTGTGGAAAAGTGGAACTAAAAGATAAAAGAATTTTCATGAACATTTTGAAGCCCCTCTGTACATATACATACGTATACACCTATATACACCTAGTCCTCATTTATCATGTGATTAGGTTCTAAAGACCAGGCACTATGCAAAAATCAGAAACTCACCCTTATGTGAAAATAGAGGATGATCACATCAGATCACAGATTTGAGGATGACTACATCATAACTGCTAAATTACGTTATCACATAATTGCCAAACTATATCATTACATAATTGCCAGCTTAGAATCAGCATTATTTACTCTCATCTTGGACCTTGGTGTTTGTTTCTGCCAGGCAAACGTCCTTGATGAGAAAAATGATGGAAGACTCGATTTCTTACTGTTGTCATAAATGTGAAATGTCAGATCAGATAGTTGGTGAGTGAGGGGCAGGTGTGTATACTCCTATGCATACATCACACTGTAGTGTATTGAAGCCAGTAAATCTATTTCCCAATTTTGGCTCCACCGTTTATTCCTTGTACCATTAGGACAAGTATTGTGACCTCTCCTGTTTATTATCGATCTTTAAGAGGAATGAATAGCATAACTGCATCTGAATATGTTTCCCATACTTCCAAGAAGAAAGATCGGAAGCCTGACGTTTGTCACTCGTGGAGGCAAGGTTTCAACTGGGCCTTACACAAGTTACCGTGGTCAAGCTTACCTGATTTTAAACTAGAAATGTTCTAGTAAGACAGAGAGGAGAGTGCTTTGAAAAGTCGAAATGAGAAACCAGAAAAAGGCTAGGGAAGCTTACTTCGCCGTTTTTCATCGGAAAATCCTCGCTGGCTCTCCAGAGGTGAGAAATCTGGAGGGAGGGAAGAGAAATAAAACCGGCAGCGTTGGTCATAAATGCACACTACAAATCCCAGCAGTCCCTGCGGCAGAAAATTACGGGTCCCGGTAGGTCTCACTCACTGGGCTGAAGGGGCTCTCGGCACCCCACAGCTTGGGTTCCGCCAGAAAGGGCGTGAGCCGCGCCGAAGCAGTGGGGGGAATCGGGTCAAGCTTTAACGTCGCTGCGCAGACGCCTCTCTCAAGACCGGACGTGACGTAGGGGAGTTCCGGCTTCGGCTTCGGCCTCGCCGCTGCCGCCGATACTACAGCCACCCCTGCCGCCGCCGCCGTCTTTGCGGCTTGTTTTTTCTAAAATGGCGCCCTTAGACCTGGACAAGTATGTAGAGATAGCGCGACTGTGCAAGTACCTACCAGAGAACGACCTGAAGGTGAGCCCGGCCCGGGCGGGAGCCCTACTTGCGGGGCTCGCCCCCTTCCGGCTGTGGGGCTCCCGCCGGCCCGCCCTTCCTCCCCCCGCGGGACCCCGCCGGCTATCCAGTCCCGTCGCGGTCGCGGGCCCAGTTCGGTGCGAAGGCACCCAGTCTGACCTGGGGTCACGCGGAAAGCCTGGGCGTCTCAGTCCCTCGAATGCCATCCTGGCTCCCTGCACGGGGATCCTGAGGGAAGTCGCGGTCCCTGTCCCAGAGTCGCCCCTCCAGGCCCCGAGGCTGTCCCAAGCCTCCGAGCCCACAGCCTTGTTCGGAAGACCACTCTTAGCCTGACCTCCACCTGGGCCACTGGGTCTCCCGATATCCGGAGCGAGCTCTGGCCGGCAGTGCCCTCGGGACGGGGTCGTCTCTCCCAGAGGTGACAGGAGCACAGGGTGGCTGGCGTTTGACAGGAGATCCCGCCGGCGGCCGGGAGAACGCTGCGCCCGTGTGTTTCGGTGACTGCCAATTGGAAGGCGATTGGCCAGAGCGGGTTGGTCGGGTTGGCAGAGAACGTCAAGTTCTTTACAATTGCTTTTTGTTTGAGTGTTGGTGGTGGTGTACTAACTTAAATGTGAATTATGTTTATGAGTACGTTATTGCGCTAATACGAGAGTTATCCTTAACTGAGGCAGTTGGATATCAACACATAGAAATGCTCCTCTGTCCTTTAAGTTGTTCCCGCGCAATCTCATTTTAACTTCATTTTCTTGGTTTTCTAAAGGAGGTGGGTTGTTGCTTTGTTAGTGTCCAGGCCTAGGAAGAGTAATACATGTGTGAGTAACGGAATGAATGTGAGAGTGAAGGAGTAACACGATTGTGTGTGGTATACTGCGCTTTGGAAAGTGTTTCGATATGCTCGCTCAAACCGAAGCTTAGAAGTATTTGCCAGCAAGTGCTCATACTTATCTTTTTGTTCAGTTATGTAGTAACTGGATATGTAGTAAGTGGATAAATTGTTGATCTTTAGAATTCTTTTTATTCTTTAAGCCATGCACTTTGCCTTTGTCTTTGAATTCTTTCTGGCAAGTGAGATATTACTGCTTGCTGCTTTTATCATCCTTAGTACAGGAAAGTGGTATTTAATCTATCAAGTCTGTAAAATAAACTTTAAAGTCACTTTTGCTATTGGGAATACTTGAATAGTATTTAGATGTTAGTTATATAAGCTATAAGATGGGCGGAATGCTGGTGCCATAGTGAGTTATGTGTTGGACTGCTAACCACAAGGTCAGCAGTTCAAACTCACCAGCTGCTGTGAAGAAGGATTAGGCTTTATGCTCAGATACAGATTTACAGCCTCAGAAAGCCACAGGGAGGGACATTTTTACTCTGTCCGTAGACTCCTTATGAGTCAGAATTGACTTGATTATATGATAGGGGAGTCATTCTTGTGCTTCCCCCCCTTTATTAATTAAAAAAAAAACCCAGACTAACAAAACTCTCACTGCTGTCTAGTCACTTCTGACTCATAGCGACCCTCTACCTGTTAGAGAAGGTAGAACTGCCCCTTTTAATTTCTGAGACTAACTTTTATGGGAGTAGAAAGCCTCCTCTTTCTCCTTGGAACTGCTGGTTTTGAACTGCTGAACTTAAAAGTTAGCAACCCAATGCATTACCACTACGTCATCAATTTAAATAAGCACAAAGCAAATATTGGTAATAAAGTAAATTTCATATTCATCAGAAGCTATCAAAAATTACTGTTGTGCCTTATTTTTGCTTTATACTTTTTCAGGAAACAAGAATACAATCAACCTTGAGACCTAATTCACAGGAAACTAGACAGACTTCTGATTATTGCATATCAATGAATCAATATGGACTTTTGTTTTCTTTTGTTAACCACATGTGAAGCTATTTTAAGCATTGTGCTTATAAGAAATAAAATAATACCTTTTATTATGAAACATTGTGTCTTAATGTTGACTTCAAATTGGACATTTAAATGAAGGATAATCAGTAGGATTTTCCTTAAGCTCTTTAGTTTGCTAAACAGTAGATTTCCTTCCCACTTAAGGAGATAATATGCTATTTCATTTTCTTTTAAAACCATTTAGCCATATTTATATGCATCAGTTCTTGATATACTTTTTTTTAAATTTAGGCAAGTTAATTTTTCTACTGAGAAAAATGAAACTTAATTTTTCTGTATAAGTGGAGGCTTTCCTTCTTTGTCTTAGAAATGTTTCCATCAGATCAGCTTATTTATGCTGCTCATCTCTAGTATATTTAAGGAAATTTAAGGAAATTTACGGTAATTTTGTTTTTGTTTCTTGCATGAAGTACAAACTAACATTTGTCAGGCCAAGAAAGTATTCTCAGAACACCACGTTTCAGATTTTAAAGCCAAAATTAAAGATTCTGTTAGAGGGGATGAGAAGTTATACTGGTCTTAATGGAAGAGATCTGTTTTGCAAGCAGAATGATGGAAATGTATCTGTATTAGTTTTAAATTGACTAGAAGTTGGAGGTACTAGAGCAAATAGACGTTCTAAATCTAATAAACATATCTCTTGAGCTAAATTGGAAGTGATCAGAATCGATCTGTTTTGAAGGGATATGGATGAAATACGTGAAAGTGCACGGACCAAAGTGTAATCGTTCTTACTGAGAGCTCATGGGGTTCTCTTCCACAAGAAAAATTAAGAAAGGACGATAGGAGATTAATTCTCATACTTGGTCAAGTGAGAGAGTGACTAACAAAAGGCACACTTAACTGAAATACTTAAATTGTAGTGGTTTGAGCAGAAGGTATTCTACAATTTGAAAATTGTCTGATCTTTTAGAAAATTCTTAAAATTTGATGTAAGTTAAGTATTCAGCTATTAACTGCAACGTTGGCAGTTCGAATCCTTCCACTGGCTCCCTGGAAGAAAGACCTGATGAACTGGTCCTGTAAAAATTACAGCCTAGGAATGATGAGGGCAATGAATGTACAAATGTGCTTTACACAATTGATGTATGTATGGATTGTGATAAGAGTTGCCTGAGCCCCTAATAAAATGATAAAAAAAAAATTACAGCCTAGTACAGAAGGGTCATGGAGAGGAGATGAGCCAGTCAGGGTGCAGTGTAGCAACGATGAAACATACAACTCTCCTCTAGTTCCTAAATGCTTCCTCCCCTCCCCACCCATCCCACTATCGTGAGCCCAATTCTACCTTACAAATCTGGCTAGACTAGAGCATGTGCACTGGTACAGATAGGAACTGGAAATGCAGGGAATCCAGGGGTCATGATTCCTTCAGGGCCAGTGGCGTGACTGGCAATACTGGGAGGGTGGGGTGGAAAGGGGGAACCAATTACAAGGATCTACATATAACCTCCTCCCCGGGGGACGGACAACAGAAAAGTGGGTGAAGGGAGACATCAGACAGTGCAAGATATGACAAAATAATAATTTATAAATTATCAAGGGTTCATAAGGGAGGGGAAAAAATGAAGAGCCGATGCCAGGGGCTTAAGTGGAGAGCAGATGTTTTGAAAATGATGAGGGCAATGAATGTACAAATGTGCTTTACACAATTGATGTATGTATGGATTGTGATAAGAGTTGCCTGAGCCCCTAATAAAATGATTTTTAAAAAATGACAGCCTAGAAAATCTGATAAGGAAGCTCTATTCTGTCACATGGGGCCTCTATAAGTAAAAAAATTGCTTTAGTGGCACCTAACAATAATATTAAGTAAAGAAATTACACAAGTTAGAGGCTGTTATTCAGTTTTTGGGACCCTGAGGCAGTTATTGTAAAATGGTTTGGGAACATATTAGTGCCACCTTTAGAAATTAGGGATGTAACACAAGGAATTGTATAATTCTATACTGATGACTTTTTTTAAAATTTAAAATCATTTTATTGGGGGCTTGTATAGCTCTTATCACAATCCATACATTCATCCATTATCATCCATATATGTGAAGCACATTTGCACATAGGGTATGTTGCCATCATTTTCAAAACATTTTCTTTCTACTTGAGCCCATGGTATCAGCTCATTTTCCTCCCTCCCTCATGAACCCTTGATAATTTATTTAAAAATTTTTCATGTCTTACACTGACCGATATTTCCCTTCACCCACTTTTCTGTTGTCTGACCCTCTGGGAGGGGGTTATACGTAGATCACTGTGATTAGATCCTCCTTTCTCCCCCCACCTTCCCCTTCCCCTCCTGGTATGGCTACTCTTATTATTGGTCTTGTGGGGTCTATATTGACTACTTTTATGGATTAATAATTAATGTAGTATTTTTGGAAACACATATTCTATCTAAACTAAGCTATCTCATGAGTTTTTCTAATAAAACCACTTGCTTTGCAAGTTGTTCTCTGAAATTCTTACATAAAACTTCAAAGAATTCTCCCTTTTCCCCTGAGATTTGATGAATAGCCTTTTCACTGCCTCATCAAGTGTCTGATTTTATATTTTCTTATTAATAGTCTTTTTTCTTCCAGACTTAAAGCTTGCTTGTTTGGTTTCTTAGAGCCTGTCTTGTTTATCTTTCTACTTACTATTGTATCAAGTCTACTTGTTTCGAAAGAATATTGCTGAAATATGTAAAAGTGAGTGGATCAAAATGTAACCTTCCTTACGAAGAGCTCATGTGATTCTCATGAGTATTGTATTTACCCGAGTTGTTTGGATTTTGCATTGTATTTCAAATACTGCAAGGAAACCTGAAAACAGTATAGCAACTTGGGACACGCCATGGCTTTGTATAGTTATAGAAGAGTGTTTTTGTGTCTCCAAGGTCCTTTCTGATAATGGCTGACATTTCGTTTGCCCTTTTGGCCACCGAATTACATTCTCCTGTGGCTTCTGAAAATAGTCTTCAATAGTACTGGCAGTAGAAATATACACCTAAAAATCACTTATCAACCATCTCATCTGACTGCATGCACAACTATAAAAAAAATCTATGTGACTACTTTGCTCATTAATGACTTAATGCCAGATAGTAACAAACACTGAGGTATAAGGAGAGAGCGACTGTGATTGTGATGGTTAAGGTTATATATCAAGTTGGCTGAGCCGTGCTTCTAATTGGTTGACAGTTACAAAATGATGATGAAAGTATACCTGGTAATAGATTAATTTATAAAGGAGAGAAAGGCAGTCAGGTGTTCTCTTAGTTTCCAGACATGAATTTATATAGTAAGTACTATAACTAGATTAATGCAAGGGAGTTTAAGTTGGACCTCACTGAATCTGAGAGGAGTGAAGACATTGAA